TAGATGAGAGTTCCGATTAGTTGAATACCGGATAACAGAGAGTTTACTGTACTCACTACCTTGTAAGTGATAAATGGGTATTCACACTGATCTATTTTATTTGACCATTTTAACCTGGTTCTGACTGAGAGCTATCATAATTATGTATTTCAAATAGAACAGCCCCATGTTGAATATCCCATTAGAAAATGTTTTAACAATGTAAAGGATCTATACCAGTTGTCTTCATGAAGTATATTCTATCCATAAAGGCTAACCTGAAAATAATGGTTATCGTGTCATATTATTACAATTGCTGAAATATTTATTAGAGCAAATTAATATTGATATCCTGTAGGTGCAGTTTAAGAAAATAATATAAATGACCAATAATTATTAATAGCAATGTTTGAGTCAATTGACTTGGTACGTATCAGAATAAAGTCAGATGTCCTTATCTGCATACTTGCTCAAATTTAGAGAAACAAAAAGCTTATATCCCAAAACTGTAACACAAGGATAAGGATCTATATTTCAGCCATATGACTGTAATTTGCAAATATAGTTGGATGCAGCTGTTAATATATGTCACTTTTTGAAAATAAGGAGCATTATCCTGGTGTGTTAGCTTTGTGAATTGAGCCTAAAATATTTAAAGGGTACCTATGGTCAAAGTCTAAAAAAATATATATGTATTTCTATATTGAATTTCCATACATTCTATCCCACTCCTAATAACCATATTGATACAGAAGTTTATAAACTTATTTATGGAAGATCCACATAGGATGTACTTGCCTAATGCACTGACATAAGTTCACTCAGCCCTGTGACTACGTACTTCCATTTGTCACCACTCTAACCAAGCTTGCTGTCTGAACTACAACTTAGCTTTTGAATTTCCCACAATGTTGTTTCCTAGAAGCAATTCATGATAGGGTATTTAGTCTTGAGAAATCAAGATTGCATCAGATCAAGCAGCATAGAAAGATATGCAAAGAACCCTGGAAATCCAGGAAGTTTATGAAAGTGATGGGCAGACTGAAGTCAGCACTCACTACATAAAAGGAATTTTTTGAAGTAAAAGTTGATTATATTATGAAAACTACTCTAGTATGTATTTCTATTACAATGCTGATGTTATAAAAGGATAGTATATGCTTTGACTTTACAATTCCTTTAATTAAGAGGATAAGCATGTCACCTAGAAAACTGCATTTGAAGAATAAGAAGTAGCAGTGGCAGCCTCTATACCTCTATCAGGAAAGGTTTATTTATGTATGTCTGCTAGTGTATTTGTGTTTGAATACATGTAGCTTTCCTGTCTTCTTTTGCTGGCCAAAGATTCTTTCTGCCTCATTTTATTATTTCTAAGAAACAACTTACTTTGCTCTGCCTTTGTAGTTAAAGGAGAACTATGAGATGAGTGATTTCCACTCACCTCATAGTTCTAGCCGACCTGTGAAAATGAGACTGTCACAGGTCGGCTCAGTAGATCGGGAGGTGAGCGAACACATACCGGGTTCTCTCACCTCTCGATCCCTCCACGGCTCTCTGCCGTGACAGGGGGAGGGCTGGATTCCCCTCTCCCCGCTTCGATCTGCCAGCGCTGACTGGCGGAACGGACGGGGGAGGGGGCGGGAACAGCTGGCTCTGCCTCTAGATAGGCAGAGCCAGCTGTCACTCATGCAGCTGGGCGGATCCCGTCATCTACGTCGGGATCCGCTCCGGCTGCGGCGTCTCAGTATACCGCGAGCTGTAGCTCGCGGTATACTGAGCTTAGGGTAACGGGAGGACGCTAGTTTGTGCCTGTTACCCTAGGGAGAACTATGGGGAAAAACACTGACCCCATAGTTCTCCTTTAAACTTTGAGGCAGGGAACTAGCATTTTTAAAAAGCAGGTCAGCAGCGGCAGCCTCTATAATTTTTTGTGCACTTGTTTTCTTTAAAAACGTCGGGCTTCTCACATAGGTCAGCCATGCATAATGGGTAAAACTGCTTCTTCTGTAGATATAAAATAAGCTAGGCACTGTCAGAAGAATCATTTCCAAGTGGGCATTGCATAACTGTCATTTATTTTAATCTCATCTATGATAGCTCTTACTGGAATCCTGCAGGCTGATTTACTAGAACATTTTAAATAGCATTAACATAATATAGAACTTGCATTAACAGCTAATCCTAATGTGCACATCTTTGCTCATATTGTTTGATTCTTTCCCAAGTGTGATTTAATAGAAGAAAAAACCTCAAAACCCCCATAGTGGCATTTATTTTGTACTGGAGTGATAATTAGCTGTCAGCGTGGCTGTATAGTTCCATTGTTAAACAGGGTTAAGTCTTTAGACGTCTGTAAGCTATAGTCTCTTGCTATGTGGTCTGCATTTTTGTTTCTAATAACAGGTAGATCATTGGGTGGTATTATAATAACAAATGTATGTGACCTGCTTTACTTTTTTTTATTATACTTTGTTCAACTAGTCTTGTGATCAAGACAATATTTCCGGACATCACAGTTATGCCACTGACCACACATTTCCCTACTGCAGTTAAGTACTATACATCCTGTGACTAGACAATAAAAAAAAGCAACTGACTGATGAGGTCACCCATGTGCTCTCTCTCTCTTCCTATAAGCATGTTTTCAGTGTTAGACTGACAGCACTGTGTAACGCAATAGAGCCTAGACTGACTCAGGGTGCTGAACTTTTCTCTGTGCTGAGCAGAGAATGACAGGCTGCTAATATAACTACATTCATGTATTATACTACTTGCATTTAAAATGCATGTAATGATTTTAATAAATATATAAGTTGAAGAAATTGAGTTTATTTTTAATCTCTTGAAGCTCAGCTTTAAAATCCATTTAAGGGAACATTTGCATTTTTTTATTAAATATCACGTGTTACCCAATATTTTGTACTCACCTAAGTTCAGTGTCCCTCACCAATGTCATTCCCGAGTGATGGGGACCGTAAATCCAGTACTGCAGATGTGCTTGCACTGGCAAGTCCCCACAGAATTAGGTAAGTAAAATAAATGTATATTGTATATAGGTTTTCTTTGTTTTTGTAATGCTAACTATTCATTTGAGGGTGCTGGGAGGTGGATCTATGGGAGAAGGGGGAATCCAAAGGTTATCTTTAAAGAAAACACTCAAGTCACTACAAATCCAGTATAAACAGTGCATTAAGTCAAGCACAAACATACCTATAATATATGATGATAGTTGTTACTTTTTTACATTTTATTCTTGCAAACTTACCATGTTTGTTTCTACCTGAATGTAACTGCAGTTCTCTGTGGTATCTGGCAGTTTCAGCTATGACAATACTATCATTGATCTTAACATTAAGTATGCCTAAATGTAGTGCTGAAAGAGGTGGTCTAGCATTCAATTAAAAGAAAAGCAAAACAAAGTGCTGAATGCAGTGTTTCAGATTACATACGTATGATAGTGCTACTGCACACAATTACTCTAAAACCCCACCATAAATCTCCTTAAACTCTTATGCAGAACTACAAACCTCAGGTGTATTATCAGTTTTTATCTTAAGAGAAACTCTAAGATTTTTTTTACAGCCTGAGGAGTACTGTGTTAGGCATACAGAGTTCATTCCATTGCTGGCAGGTATGACCAGAAGCCCGGAGGGCAATAAATCTACACTTCCAAGAAAACTCGAAAATTCTCCTTACTGCATAGCATGCATAGGGGATTCTGTAACTAGTGACGGTGATGACCCTGAAGACTCCTGTGAATCTAATGACAGCTCTTCTCTGACTGTAAACATCACAGGGGGTATAGAGTCAGTGTCAACAACATTTTCAATCCAGTACAGTTGTGTATTTGTCCTATCTTCACATGCACACAGATAGTCTGCATTTAATATGCCTTACAAGTTTCCCTAATGGGGCCTCCTCCTACCCCTAGGCTCCATAGCAGCTGCATGGGCTACGATGGCTATTGTTATGCCACTGTTTTTTTCCATGTCACAGTCTTTAGTCCAGGCTTAGACCTGCATTTAAAAAAAATGCAGTATGGACATGATTAAAGCTACACCAAATACCTTAGCAATCCCAATTATTACTTTGTGTAAGTAATGGTGACATTATCACTGTGCTGCACGTAGCCTGTGCAGAGACCAGAGCCCACTACAGGATGCCTTCAGAGAACTACAGTGGGGCAGATACAAGATCAGTCACAATGCACAAGGAAAGAGAGCAGAAGTCACTGGTTTTTATACAGGAAGCTCCTGCACCGAGGTGGGTTTTACACTAGAATACTGCACAGATCTGAAAGTAATAAACAATTCACACCAAGATTCAATGGCAGAATGGGTAACAGGGGAGTGCTGGAAAACAGGCTGCCAAACTTACAGCCCAGCCCCACAGACATTGCAGTCCTGGTGCAATGTATGGGGCTCCACTGTCACTTTGACAGCTGGCCCTGCTTATTGTATTGGGATTGACAACAGCTTTTGTATGAATGACAACAAAAACAAATTGCAACCATCATTTATAAATGAGTAAAAATTGTATTTGTAAAAAGTTGGTTTTTGGCTGGTAGCATAAGATGCCTGCTAGACAGACTCACTGGTAGATAGGTAAACCTGTACCAGGTGCAAATTTGCTATAAAATGTACCCATGTTCGATATGGTCACTGTAGAGGAGCTTGTGAAGCATAGCCTGTGAAAGAGTTTGTTGTTACATTGATGCTCCAAAATGTGACAAGCGGGCCTGTCTCGCTTAACACTCCCTAGCCTATCCTTTGGCAGTGCCATGGTAACAAGAAAATGGCACTAATTTGCAGAGACTACAGTAGAAAGTTTCGGCCTGTTTAGACAGATTTTCATTCACTTTGGAACTGTTTCTCTCTGCATACAAGCCTATGTGAATGCAAAAGCAGCTTGAAACAGGTCATATGTAGGTCAACTGTACCTGCAATTAATTTTGAATGATCTCAAAAGTCTCTAATACTTTTTTTTCAACATGAATTCAATGTAATATCTTTTCTGTTCAGGGGCAACAAAGGATATGGGAAAGATGTTGGGAGGTGAAGAGGAAAAAGATCCTGATGCCCAGAAGAAGGAGGAAGAGAGACAAGAAGCTCTACGCCAGCAAGAGGATGAAAGGAAGGCAAAGCATGCCCGAATGGAAGCAGAACGGGAGAAAGTCCGGCAACAGATAAGAGATAAGGTACTCTTTTATCATCAGTTTATTTTGAAAACTAGCAGATATGTACCTGTTTATGAATAGGTTACATTCAAAATGGGTTTACTTTTACCAGGAACTGTTTTATATGTAATTTATTAACAAAGCAATGCTAAATTGGGGAAAGGTGGGCTAAAATGATACAACCTAATAAGTAGAAACCAAAGTATCTCTGTTATTCTATCTGAAGAGCAGATGATAATATGCTACTCATAAAAATATAATTTTCTCACCATATCAGCTGCTTCTAAGCAGGAATTAACTTTACCTTCTCTGGGCCACGATACAAGATATATTGGTGGATTTATCCATTCAAGTGAATGTATCCACTCTTCATGCATGCACAAATTTGTTACCTTTATAATTTGCTCTATCAGCTGTTTCCTTCTCTCCCCCGTTGTTACTGATATTCAAAATTATACTTTTTCTCAAGAGTAAGCTCTCATTAACATCTCTAACCACTCCCCCTGGATTCTGATGGCTACTGCCTTTTAGAAATCAGTGACTTGTAACTGCCACCAGAATGGCAGAGGTGTCTTTCTCTATGCAGGGTGAGAGGCAAGACAGTAGTTATGGTAAGGCAAAGAGAGGAAGGTACACATGAACAGGGCAACACACAAAACAGTACAAAAGGGGTCCCTAGCACACTTTCAAGCTAGCCAGAAAAAAAACCCAGGCTAATCTTTTTAACTGTTTGTACGTTTTTGTTACATATATTTGCAAATACATGTGGAAGCCACACTGTCATGTCATGGCACCTCTGTTAAGTGTGGTCCCTAACCTTACATGATCTGAGTTTCCAACTATGGAGCATATAGATAGCAATGCACAAACAGAAAACAGGCTTCATTGGAGTCAGCACCATCCTCCTTTAAGATAAAGCCACCCGGGTGGCAGCTACCCATGTGGAAAATAATGGGTCTCAGGGGACAAATTGGAGTAATGTGTAGAGTAAATTGGAATTGCATTTTTTGTTCGTTGAATTCGCACTACTGAGTTGCATACACAGAAGGCGTTTCTCTGGAAAAAGGGAAGAGTTGCTTACCATAATGATTTTTTTATCTTTCCAGTACCATTACATGGGTTTCCTTTTTTGCAGACTGGGAGCTTCCTCATATTGCTATGGATAAAGATTCAAATCTGTAATAGTTTGCAGTCACATAGCATTTGAATGCAAATAGTTTCTGTGGCGTTCTCCCTCTAGAAAATTCATAATGCTCTATGAGATCAGGGGTCTGGGTGCATCTGTAATAAATGTTTACTTGTACAATAAATCTTATATATTTATACGAATTAGAACATTAGTTTGAAATTGTACTACCTTAAAAAAAAACTGTAATTTACTTGACCCAAATTCATTATAATATAATAGTATCCTATAACTTTTTTACTAACCACCTCAGGGTACCACATATGACAGCTACCTCCCTCCCACCTACTGTGATGAAAATCTAAGAAGATTAGGAGACTGTAAAAGATTATACACGATTTAAAGCCCTTTAACTTCTTTAGGTAACCAGTCTGAGAAAGCTAAGAGATATATATATAGCTATGAGGCCTCTATTGTTATATTTAAAAAGCTACAGAGACAATGTCACCAACTTAGAAAACTGCATGTAAAAGCACAGGAAAAAAAGTATTTTAAAAACTTACTTGCAGTGATTTTTTTCTTTAAATAAACAATTTCTATTCACATTTAATGTGCCTTTGCTAAAGAAATCAACCACTCAAGGAAGAGTCAATTCCCTAGCACAGCCACATTTCCCCCTTACTCCCGGCACATCATAGTCTGCTCCTTTTCAGGTAGTGTCTAATTACCACTGGCCCTACCCCTCAGCTCCCTACATAACCTTTTATGTAGCTGCCTAGGGAGGAGGGAATGGGGGATTACTATAGAACAGGAGTAGGCAAATTCGGGTCCTCCAGCTGTGGTACAACTCCAAATCCCTTGAGGCATTGCAAAACTCTGACACCCACAGACATGACTCCCAAGAGCAGATGCATGACGGGATTTGTAGTTTCACCACATTTGGAGGGCCAGAGTTTTACTACCCTTGCTGTAGAGTGTAACTGGGTCTGCAGGGGCATTTACAGTTAATTAGCATGCAGGAAATATATTAATTGCACATATAGATTGTTGTTAAAATAAATTATTTGGTAAAAGCATCTCTTCAAATGTGCAAAATGTTTTTAGAAAAATGGCAACATTTTAAAAAAGGAGGTCCAGGTATTTCCCATACAGTATTTTAAATATATATTTCGTCTTTGCCAATTAGTAAAATTCCAAGAAGCAACAATAAAGGCCTTTTTATCAAGCTTTTTAATAGGAATTCTATTTTTGTTGTTCATAGCATAAGCAGCTAATTAGATTGTCTATTTTCAGCCCACCTTTATGTTAGTTTCCTCTGGGTGCAATTGTTTCCTTTCACAGTCCTAAAAAATACTAGTAAGTTAACCAGCTTCCCCCTGATCGGTTTTAAAGGAACCACCGCTCATGGAAAAAACTAAGGGGTCTATTCACGAAGCTGCCGAAGGATCTGGCCGTAGCTTCGGCCGATCCTTCGGCTAGCTTCGGCCCCAGGACCCCTTCGGTTCAGTAGAACCGAAGGGGTGCTGTACGGGCTATTCATAATAGCCCGTACAGCTCCCGATCTTAGCCGAGCCGAACGCATATGCATCGGCTAGGCTGAGCCGTGCTGAAAGCCGACAGCCTGCTTCTGACAGCTGGGCGGAGCCAGCTGTGATCTTACGGCTGGCTCCGGCCACTTGCAGTGAGATCAGCGTCCCTGGTTACCTGCTAACCAGGGACACTGATCTCCAAACAGCTAACTCTCCCTGGCGCCCCGGGAGTCTCCTGCTCCCGGCCGCCAAGGAGAGAAACACTTCTGTGTCCTTTTTTTTCTTCATTCTGACACGATCAATGTCAGAATAGAAAAAAAAAAAAAATTCCCATTGAAAAGCATTGGGACATTACTATTGGCTATTTCAATTTGCAATAGCTAACTTTTTTCACTCTTTTACTCTTTTCGCTCAGCGGCAATCGGCTATTCACTCACTGCTGTTCGGCATCTTTAAGAATAGCCCGAACAGCAGTGAGAAGCCTGCCGAAGGTTTGGCTCAGCCGATCCAGATGTTGGCACGGCTGAGTCGAACTCCTTCTGCACTTCGGGTCGGCCGAACATGCTGAGCATGTTTGGCCGGCCCGAAGCCACGCGAAGCGAGCTGATGTACGGCTGATTTCAGCCGATGTACGGCTGAAATCAGCCGTACCAGCCTGAAGTGAATAGCGAACAGTGTTCGGCTCACTTCACTTCAGATCGGTCTTTCACTCGGCTGCCTACGGCAGCTTACTGAATAGACCCGTAATTGTGTAATAATGTGTATCAAAAACTCATACCCTACCAGCAGCTGTGTAAGGCTCCCAACAAGAGACTGTCTTATCAGTAATAATAATAATAGCAATAATAATAATAATAATAGTGTTTTACCCCAATCACAGCACTCCCTTATAAGTAGATGAAAACAAAAACGAGAACAAATTAACTAAAAATAAATATGCAATATGAAACAAAAGTGTCCTTGAATATATCAATCAAAAGTCCATAACAGTCCAACAATGTGACCATTAGTGCTTATTCACACCACATAAATTGTAGATTCCCAGTAGACAAAGAAGTGGACACCGTCATTCCTCACAGAAAACTCACCAAAGGTCCAAACAAGGCTCTCATCATCAATTCACTTTCTCTATCCATAATTCACACATTGGGTCAGCTTGTCATTTCCCATCATTGCCATGAGCCTCCCAACAATATCCATATCCCATCATAGACAGAAAAACTACATAGGACTCATAGGGTAAAAAAGCTTTTAAAAGAGATAACATCTTGCTTCCAGCACAGGAATAGAAGCTCCTGAAGCAAATATGCAGGTCAACGACCTTCCAAACAAAGGGCTATTGTTTCTCAAGAAAAAAAACAGTGTGGTGATGTGAGTAGTCTTCACCCAATACGTTTCGTCATCCACCGACTTCTTCAAGAGTGTTGAGGATATATTAATATATTCAAAGACACTTTTGTTACACATTTACAGTATTTTTGATTCATTTGTTCTCGTCTTAATAATAATATTTTTATTTTCATTCACTTATAAGTGAGCACTGTGATTGGGGTGAAACACATGAATGCACACATGTCTTGATAAGGACTGAGCTCCATTGAAACATCGACTATAAAACGCTGATGCTTTGCCTTATCTCCGCTGCAAGACTCATGAGTGTCTCTATATGTACATTGGATTTGTATGGATGTATTTGTGGATGAGCACCCAGGCATTTTCCTTACAAATAGAGTGCAGTTTACAATATATGTATAAATTAAATATATGTTCAAAGGAAAAACATAACAGCATTGTAAAAGTAACATATTGCATTCAGACAAATAAAATCACGTTGTTAACATTATTCACCCGCTTAATCATTAAAATATTACTTATATACAGTAGCTATGACACAATAAACATGATTATAGCAACAGCTGGTGGATAAAACATGCTTGTGCCAGGTCCACATCCCCTGCAGTTCTGTGAATTCAGGGTGAAAGCAGAAAGGGAACTTGAGTTTACAGAGAACAGTAATGAAATAAACATACTTAGGATTCATCAAGCGTGCATGGGCTGTGCTGTATGCTGGACGCACAATAGCAGCTGTTGAACAATGCCTGGACAATGACAGGAAATGTGTTTCGGATGAATGAGTGAAAGATACATGCATATCATTTACTGTAATTAACAATCCATTCTGCAAATGTAGCTGGACTTCTGTAATCTTATAAGCCATTTATTTAATCATAGTCGCTCTTATGCTGTATACCCCTGTTTAAAAGGTAATTTCATCTTTCTGATGCATACCATACTGCGACACTACATTCATAACCATCGTCATTAGTATCCATTACCTTTCTTTCTCAGCCAAGGCTTTTGACATG